TAATTTGAACATGTGCATTTAATGGCACTAACAATGAGTATAGTCTTATCAACTTTTTGTTTTTTGCTTCCTGGAGTCTCTCTAATCCTAAACCACCTTCAATTCAGCATGTGTCTCTAAATATCTCATTCTGATAATGGATTTTTTTCTATGTCTGTTTAATCACACGCATGACCTCTTTTCTCCTGGGAAGGCAGACTTCCTCCATATCTCTGTCCACATCTGTTCCCAGCTAAGAGCATGGGGCTCAATGAGACTTAACTCCACTTTGGATAGACGGGCTGACCTCAAGGTCACTAGCAGCCAGAATTGGGACTATTCTGTAGTCTGATGACAAGTCCAGCCAGGACAAGCTGCCACAAGAGTGCCTGTGCAATAAGAATGAGGTATGGCTACATGTATCTTGCTTCCACTCCATAAATGGGACTGGTCATATGTTTTTAGTGTCATAAAAAATAAAAACCAAAGTAGTTCCTACACGGACTTTGCCCGTGGTCATAAGTCTTTGACTGGAGGTGCACTCCCCTTATTTTATAAATTGAAAGTGTTGATGAATTGGGACCTCATGGGTGATGCTGTTAGGATTTTAAAGAATATTCATTTCATCTTCTTTAAATATTGAACCTTGTCCTTTTCATCCAGTTCCCCTCACAAATGACGAAGTCTCTCATCTGCAGGATTTCCTGCATCTTCATTTCCTTTTAGGGTATCTGTTATTCATCCCTTCTTAATTAGCTTTGAAAAGTTATTTAAATGGAAATACCAAGTCTGTATTTTTGTTTCGCATTGGGGTGGAAGGAAGGCTGGTGAATTGTATGGTGTACATGAACAGACTTATCCTTGTATTCAGATTCACCTGAAAGGCAACATAGCTCTTTTGTTACAGAATAACCACTTACTAAAATGAAACTAGCCGATGACTGGAGGGTCTTACATAAAGACCTAGATCTTTCTGAAGTGCCCTAATACACCCCCTCCTCTTATGCTTTCAGAAATGACAGGCACTCGAAAAGAATTGAGATGGGGAGAAACACCTGTGTGTATGTGTAAACAATTCATAAATATAGAATAATGCAGTTCTGCTGAAATTTTCTTCATATATTTTTTGCGTGTGATGTGTTCCTCAATATATAATCTTGCATTGTGTACGAAGTAGCTGTGACTTAGCAATCAGTTTAAAGAAGACATAAAAACTCTATACTGGTCTTCTGTCTTCAGCAAATGACCTTATTACAACATATTTTAGTGGGATGTCTGATACCATCCCCTGATGTTTTAGTATCTAGGTGTAAGTGGCAATTGCCAGTAAAATAAATTGTGTCACTGAATTTGGTTCAAGTTGAATGTAGTAATACTTATATGTGGATATAGTAAAATAAGTAGATTGATTCAAATTATCAGTCTTGTCTGTGTCTTTTAGGACTTTAGTATTTTAATATTAGAGGTGTCTTCTGAAGACTGTAGCAGCAGTAGACTCCTTTTGCTCTTGAAAATTCAGTATTGTTTGTATTATATAGATGTTCCAGGAATAAGAGTGGAACACTTGAAGTGTAATAGTTTGGTCTCAGAATCTGGTAAAGGAAAGTCCAGTCTATAATAAGGTAAGAACTTTCCCAACTTGAAACTGATTGGGGAGCTCTTGGAAGACAGGACTGAGTTTTAATCTCTTGGATGTAGTGGTACCAAACTAACAGAATTTTTAAGATGGATTTTGTAGAATCCGTGAAACATGTTGAAAAGCCATAAAGTAGGGACTGGTCAAGCATCACATACTAGAGTGAATAGAATCTACTTCACCAAGAGGGTTTTCATTTTGCACAGTTCGCCATATTTATAAAAATATCATTGTATCATCATTGGGTTAAAAAAAAGTTCATCTTCCTAATGGTACATTTCCTAAGCAGCAAACCAGTGAAATAGCCCAACTAGTAACTTGTCATTATAGTCTGACAGCTTCCTCCTACCTGAAGCTAAGGTAAACAAACAACCACAGTTTCATTTCAAAGACTTGCTCAGTAAATTAGTAGTACTAACAAAGTTGTGCTCTTTTCTGTATTTCTCCACAGTTATAAGTAAAACAAAAGTATAAAAATAAACCAAATGATAGGAATCAGTTAATAGTACTTTAAAATCCTTTTCATTTTTATTAACATTAAATTCAACCCCAGTTATCTCTTGCATATAAGAAAAATTTTGAAATACTTGCACACCAATTGAGAGGCTTTGTAAAAATGCCTTTTTGCCAAAATCCAGTACTTTGACTTCTCGCTAAGTATTATATTTCCTTAGGGTACTTTGAGGTCTTTGAAAGATATGTCAGTAGCAGTTCTAATCTTAGTGCAGAACATTTTGCTAATCATTTTACTATATTAAAAAATGTTATACTATAATATTTTATAATAAAACAAAATTATCAAGTATTCTGGCATATTACATATTATTCTACCCAAACATCACTTTCTATAAGTCTATTACTGTGTACCCATATTTTTAAAAAACATCACAGTGAGTATTTTGGCCCTAGTGAGGAAGTAGAATGCAATATATGATATTGATTTTTCATGAAAATGTACTTAAATGTAGGGCAGGGAAATGAAGCTGTAAATGTTTCTGTTCTCACGGGTGAAATGACCAACGATAGTTTGGAAAGATCACCTTAAATGTTCACCAGAGTTTAGCTTTTGTTATCTGTTGTTCCTAGAGCAGGAAGGCCACCTGTCAGTTGAATCTGCCTCTGATTCACAGAGGGGGTTCGCTCACAGTTCACTGCATGGTGTAATGACATCTCTTCAGAAGCAAGACTGACTCCGAAACTTAGTGATGCACCTTACTATTTTTTAACTGCTCTTATAATACCCAAAACACTGTGATATTTCCCATGTGTTTTCTGTATTAGTTTTGTACTGTAGAAAATAATCTGCCACAAATTGGACTTTATTGTGTTTAAAATGATGTCGCTGGCTTATTGTCCCCCTGCTCCACAATATGGTCCACTTAATAATGTAAAACCTGTGATAATCCTTTGCCTTAAAATCTGATGCTAAATCATTATTGTGTTCTCATTAATTACTCTTAGCTACTTGTTAATTTCCCTTTAAAGCTAACTATGGTGTCAAATAAAATATTACACAAATACTCTGTGGAGTGCTGCTGGTGATTCTGTTTGTGACTGTGTGTATCTGGATCCAGGACATGGTAGCCTGCTGGGTTCTATAAATAGGCATTCGTAATCCTTTTGGAGAAAGGGCCTGGTACTTCTCAGGCCTTGGCTGAATTCCCCCCTCAACCCTTATAAATAGATTTTCCCATGTCACTTCAACAACCAAGTCAAACAGCTCAACTTGGCCTCTTCCTCTATCTTCATTCTTGTTGAGATTTACGAATCTTCATATTTTGTTTGTATTTACATCATTTTCCAAAATAGAAAAATGCCCAAGATGCCTGAAAATTAAAATCACCCAACTTCTTCATGGAAAATGATCTTAGAAGGTGTGAAGGAGTGGGTGTGTGTGTGTGTGTGTGTGTTGGGGAGCAGGGATTCCATCCTGATGCACAGAAGGTTGTCAAAAGTTCAGTGAGTATACACAGAACCTGCACAGGTTAACACCAGATCAACTCTAGCCCTGAGAAAAGGAAGGAGACACAAATTCCAATCTCTAACCAAGAAGGTATTTGCAATTGATAGGTTCTGGGAAGGGGAAATTCTGTTTTTTTTTCCAATTGAGTGTCAGTGAGTTTCTTAGCCACACTCCAGGGCAGGTCTCACGGTCAGGAGTAGGGGGCCAACTCAAAACAGACTCCATGTTTGTCGTCGTCGTCTTCTTCTTCTTCTTCTTCTTCTTCTTCTTCTTCTTCTTCTTCTTCTTCTTCTTCTTCTTCTTTGCACTTTTTGTTTCACTTTGTTGGTTTTGACATTTTTTATCTTACTGTTTGATGTTAATTTTAGGGTTTTTTTGTTGTTTTTTTTTTGTGACAGAGAGAGCATGAAGTTGGGTGGGTAGGGAGGATGGGGGAGTCAAGTAGGGGAAGAATATGTTCAAAATATATTGTATTAATTTTTAATTTTAGTATATGTGCTGCCGAAGCGAGCACTGTATTAATTTTTAAAACATAAACAGTTGAGTGAAAAAGAATTGTGTTAGTGTTGGCATACCAACAGAGGTATGTGTTGGGCTAGAAACTGCTTCCTTATTAGGCTCTGGTCTTTGACCTGTCATGAGTTAGTCACAGCTATACAGCAATATATTCTGTAGGCAGTTTGATTTGCAAAGGAAAACTTTGGCTCCCACAACTCCTTTGATGCTCCTTCCCATTCTGTACTAGAAAGACAAAGGACACGCTCAAGGGTTACATTGAAAAGTTAACCGTATTTCCCAGTATGTCGAGTGCATGACAAGACACTTGCTCTCTGAAAAGCATCTCAGTGGCTCTGGCTATTTTGGAATGGCAGGAAAATCTGAACTTTTGACCGGGTGTTTCTTCCGCTCAGAAACTAGACAGTGGATCAGGAATTCAGACTCCCCCACCCCCAATTCTGGTTTCTGCTGGTTACTGCTTATCAAAGCCACTGGAGACAGCCCAGAACAACCAATCCTAGGACTCAGAGGCTTCGCGCGAGCCAGCTTGGTTGGCGACCTCAGGCTGCTGGTTGGGCACCAGCTGTCAGAAGGCTCCTGGTTCGCAGCCCGCCCGGAACAGTCTCCACGGAGGCGGCGCGGCGAGCTGAGAGGCGCGCGCTGGCGGCTGCGCACGGTGCTCGTGGGCGTGTCCGAGCGGGGCCACGCTGCCCGCCCCACCCCACTCCCTCCCCGGTGTGACTTGCCCCCAGGCCGGGCTACAGCGTGCGCGGCCCATTTGGCCGGGCCATCGTGCCCTCGGCGGGCTGCGCTGCTCTCGAGCAGATCGGGGCCGGGCATGCTGGGATCCGCTCGGGGAACCGTCACCGCTGCCACCGCCGCCGCCGCCGCCGCCACCACCCGCTGGGCGAGTCTGAGGCGCGGAGATGAAATTCCCGGCCTCGGTGTTAGCGTCCCTGTTCCTGTTCGTGGCCGAGACCATAGCAGCGCTCTACCTGAGCAGCACCTACCGCTCGGACGGGGATCGCATGTGGCAGGCGCTGACTTTGCTCTTCTCCCTGATGCCCTGTGCTCTGGTGCAGTTCACGCTCCTCTTCGTCCACCGCGACCTCAGCCGCGATCGCCCACTGGTGCTGCTGATGCACCTGCTGCAGCTCGGGCCCCTGTACAGGTGCGTGCAGAACCCAGAACCAACCCTTAGGCCGCAGCCCCTGGCCGTTCCCCTTTTACTGCCTCAGCTGAGGGAGAGGCCTTCTTGCAAGGGACAGGTGGCCAGGACCAGGGCTGACCCGCCCTGCTTTCCCAAGCCTCACCATTCCAGTCTCCAGCATGTGGCAGGGTCCCAGAGTGGCACCAAAACTGAGATGCCCTGGATTTTGGGAGCCATCATATGGAATTGCCAATGTTTGCTTCAATTGGACCAAAAAGAGCAGCAGTCTTTGCCTTTTTCGGTCTCATAAAAATACAATGCTTTCTCTGTGGTCAAGTGGCCTTCGGCAAGATTGGCTTGTGTGGTCATAGAACAAACCTTTGGAAGTTACTCTAAGCACGGTTAAAGTCAGAGCCTTTATGGATCATTTAATTTAGTTTATCAAACACATGACACTTAACTGTGCACCAGGTACTATTCTAAGCGCTTTGTTAAAAATTATTTAATTCATATACAGAAGTCTAGAAAGTCATGCACTCTACTTTTCTCTTGGAGTGATGAACATTGGTCTAGAGTGAAAACACACGTAGTACCAGCGATATCTTCTAATTCTGCCCAATTTTTAATATAGCCATGAAATCTGGGACACGATGTGCCTTGAAGACAGGAACTTGCTTTGTGTTAAGAAAAACTACTAATGTCATTTCTGGGGGGAAAAGTTATTGTTGTTGCAGTTTGTGGTGCTGTGGATGGAATCCAGGGCCTGGTACTGGATAGGCAAATGCCTTACCATCGAAGTATATCCTTAGCCCTAAGAATTACTCTATGAACACAAAGCAAGAAGAAATACACAGTAATGAAACAGACTCGATTTTAATCTCAGAACTTGAAGGGAATTTAAATATATCGTTTTCATATCTTTTATCTTACTAGACGAAACACCAAAGTAAACGTTTATGTTCAGATTTTTAAAATGTTCACAATATTAAAATTTTGCATGCCATTTTAAACAACCTTTTAGCTTACTGTACTGACTTGCAGTTTAACACAGTTATGGCAAACTTGGTAAACAGGTTTCCCATCCTTCAAGAGACAGAGAATCCTAGAAAGGACAAGAAACATATGCTGGTAATAGTGAGAAACTGTTACTGGTGTCCTGACAGGGAGGAATCAGAAAAATAGGTGGGTGGGGTACTTAGAAAGCATTGCAATCAATTAGCTGGTAGAGAACCCATGTCCTTAAGCCAGCGCCATGGCCCTGCTAGTGCCCCTGCTCAAGAAACTAAGTGAGCCGGGCGGTGGTGGCCCACGCCTGTAATCCCAGCACTCGGGAGCCAGAGGCAGGTGGATCTCTGTGAGTTCGAGGCCAGCCTGGTCTACAGAGTGAGTTCCAGGAAAGGCGCAAAGCTACACAGAGAAACCCTGTCTCAAAAAAACAAAACAAAGCAAAAAAAAGAAACTAAGTGAGATTTGACTTTAGACAAGGCACTCATCATTTAATGTCATCTGTGGGGGAAAAACTCCTATTTGGGTGGAGTGACTTGGGGAACTGAGAATTCTCAAAAGTTGCTTGTGCTAAGTGGTCTGGTTCCTACCTACAGGCCTTAGCTGACTGACTCCTTGCCATGAAGTACATGCAACTGTGCTCACAGCATTTGTTTGTGTGTTTATTATTTTGGTGCTGGAGTTGAACCTAGGGCCTTAGGCTTACTAAACCAATGTTCCACCATTGCTGTGGGCTCCCCCAGTCCCTGTCGCCATTTTATACATGAGGCAAATGAGGCTCCAGAACACGTTCCCAAGGCTTCCTTCCAAAATGCAATTAGGTTCATTGTGTTCTCTGTGTTCTGGAAAAGAAAGTAGAGTGTGCAGTACATTTTATCAGCAGTTCCATCTTTAAAGTTTTAAATGTTTGATCATTTGTGAACAAAATAAAAAAACAAACAACCAGAGCAACCAGGCAAGTAAGAATCCTCTCTCATTGCTGTCATTTTGAAGTGTTTCTTTGACAAAGCTAATAGAATATTACATATAAAAACAGCATGGCAACTATAAACTAGAGCCCAAGGAAATATACTAAGATGTTAAAAACAGTAGTACTGAGTGGCAGAGTGTGAGTTTAGTTTTTTTCTCAACATGAACATATAACAAATTTCTCCTTTATTATGAATTTTTGGTTTTCTTCAGTTATCACAGTAATTTTTTAAAACTTTATTAAGGAAAGGAGCTTCATATTCTGACAAGGAAGTACTGGACCCATGATCTTTGAACTGAGATACACAAAATGTAGTTTCAAGACCCTTAGCTTACAAATGAAAGGGAAATTTCTTTATTTTTTGGTTAACAGGACTTAAAAAAATAGTGGGATTTCTTCCTAATGATTGGATCTAATTTGAACTCTTAATTCATCAGCTTTTCAGAAAGATCAAATTATTCCCCCAAACAAGGGAATCACAATAATTTCTCCCATTTACCCCTTAGCAGTGGTTTTTAGTAATATTTTAAAGTTTGGGGGACAGTTTTCTTCTACTCAAGTTAGGGTAGCCAAACTACCATTTTTAGGTAGACGCTGTTTTTGAGTTCATATGATGACCTAATTAAAGTGACATACAGTAGTTTACTCTGTATAGTGCTTGGCTTAGTATGCTTGAATCCCTATGGCAGCTCCTCAGTATGGGGAAAATGGCGGTCTGCAATACCTTACACTAATGAGTATGGACTCAAACTGCTAGCTCACTTATGGGAGTGAGCTTTTCCTTCAGGGAGGCATTGGTAGAACTCTTTATATCATTTATTTATTATACTTTTAGTCTTATATTTAAATGTATAGCTACAGTTTCTATGGTGCTTTCTAATATGAACTTTGGATAGTGTCTTGAATTACCCCCTTTTCCAATTTGAAGGAAAATCTTACTTTCAGCTATACTAGATATTCTGAACAAACAGAAGGGAGACTGTCTTTTACCTCCTGGTTCCTATTCTTCTCACAGTTATGGTAACTTTCATTAAATAACTGAGAGGAGTCAATATAGATGAGTGACTTCAGGACATCCCCCATCGTTATTACTAGCACAGTTTAACAGACAAAATGAGAGGTGAACAAAATCTAGATTTTTAACCCAGCACTCGGGAGGCAGAGCCAGGTGGATCTCTGTGAGTTTGAGACCAGCCTGATCTACTGAGCAAGATCCAGGAAAGGCACAAAGCTACACAGAGAAACCCTGTCTCGAAAAACCATAACAAACAAACAAACAAACAAACAAACAACAAAACCAAAAAACAAGATGTAAGTTAAAACGGTCTAAATTTGTTATAGAACATTGCAAAGTAATTCATAGTAGTATGTCTCTATAGGGAACTTTAAAAGTAATTTAAAATAGTAAGTCCACATTTGAAAAGCATTTCTTTCCTTTGCAAAGCACATGCATTGTTTAATTCCCTCTGTAGTCAAACCCTGTGAGCTAACTGGCACAGTCTTATTTCTACAGTCCAGGCACTGAGATTCAGGAGATTAAGCAAGTGGCTTGTCAAAGGTTTCACAATATTTTCTATTTAACCAGCATAACTTTCTGATGTAGCTTCTCAGACATGCGTCTCACATGAACATAATATAGCTTACAGGAGATGGTAATGTTTCTTTGGAAAAAGTATTTTCATTAGAGTCCTTGGTACCTCAAGTTATTTGTGTTGCCATCAACATGCCTAGTTTTACCTAGGGAACAAACTGCTGTTATGGTTGACAAATGAATTACGCTTGAAAATGGAACTAAGTGAAAAAAGGTCAATCAAATTACTAAGTATCTACAGCAGGGATCATCATGGGGTCTGCAGACTATGCTCCACTGGCCAAATCATGCCACCGCCTGTTTCTGTATTAGAAATAAGTAAGTAAAATTTTATTGAAACACAGCTATAGTCACTCCTTCATATAGTCATTTCTTTATAGATTGTTTGTCTGCAGAGACCCTGTTGGCCTGTTGAGCCTAAAATACTTACATTACACAAAGGTTCCTGAGCCATGGAATATGTGATACTGAAGCACTACCTTGAATAATTTTTATGAAGGATGTTGGTCCTCTACCACTGAGCTACATCCTTAGCCCTTACCTTGGGTGATTTTATTCAAGAAGCTCATGCAGAGAAACAACAACAATTAAAACAAACTCTAAACAAAATAGGAAAAAATACATAAGTCTTGGCAGAATTTTAAGAAAACAGCAGTAGTTTGTTTCTTAGTTTTCTACTTAGTAGTAGTAAGAGGTCTTGGGACAGTTCACAAATTTATAAGATACGATGTTTGAAGCATTGTTAAGATATGCCAGGTGTAATGGTGCATGACTTTAGTCCCAGCACTAGGGAGGCAGAGTAAGTTTGAACCAGCCTGGTCTACAGAGTGAGTTCCAGGACAGTCAGGACTACATAGAGAGACTCTTGTCTCAAAGGGGAAAAAAGGACAATGTATCACTTAGAAAAAGCGGTGGATTGTGAGAGGCTCCACCATCGGAGCTATCTGTGCCATTAGTTTGTTTTTTTTTTTTCCTGGAAACATTTTTCATTTACATGGCTGATCTCTGAAGTTTCATTCAAAACTTCCCTTCAAACATCAATAGAACTGCGGTTTTCTTTTCTTTTTTTTCTTTTTCTTTT